TACAGGAAAAGAAGCTTCTCCTTGAGAAAAATGGACCAAGTCTGGCTAGGATCTCAGTTTTTGAGGTGTGAAATAATCAGCTCACTTTCTTCTTTCTAGATTTGGCGTTTAGTTGATATTACTTTCTTTTCTTGATGCAGACCAATAGGCTCTTGAAGAACAATATCGTTGGTTATTGTGAGCTTGATCTACTTGAATTTGTAGTTCAGGTCAGCAGCTAAAGATTGTTTTCATATGGAAACCTGTTTTGGTTCTTCCACCTTTTCCTTTTCATTTCAGTATCTGTGCTTCCTCTGTCTTAAGCTTGAAAACTGACTAGTGTAAAGTATCAGCAAGTTGCTCTATGTCGCTTGTCTTCCATTAGTTGAGGGGGAATCTCCCACTATATAGCTGATTACTGCCAATGCATGGATTAGATATCGCAGTGCCTTGAATGATAAACTGATGAGACAACTGTTTGTTTTGTTTCGCATGTTTACTTTGCTTCTATTTTATACTATGTGATATAGGAACCTGAATCTACTTGCAAGTCATTTGACCTGTTAGATCCAGCGTCATCTAATGTTGTTGGCAGCATGTTCATTTCATGCTCCGTTGAGGTATGCAGTATGTTAAAAGTTGAAACAGTATTTAAACAAATGCGGTGGGAATGGTTTCTGATTTTTGGTTGCTAACATTTCCAGGATCCTGTGGAAACGGAGACATGTTTTGCAAAACGTATTTTGTCTATAGTGGTATGCTTTACTTTATCTTCCACTCTGTTTATTCTGGTCATGATGTTATCCTCTTGGAATTTTCCATGATTGATGATAGAGACTTTTTTTTTAAAATCAGACTCCAGAGCTATCACTTTAATCATGCTCGTTAATCAGATTCTCTCGAAGTTTCATTTCACAATCCATGTGCTACCTTTCTCTTTTCAATGCCTTCTTATAGCAGTTTTTCTATGGAAGATTATGACATGCTGCAGCCTTTATTACTGATTGTTGGAGTCGTTCATCTAAACGCAGGACTATAATGAAGATGGACACCTCTCATTCACAGAGTTCTCGGATCTGATGAATGCTTTTGGGAATGTTGTGGCTGCTAACAAGGTTTGACCTTCAACAGCTTTGTCTCCAAGTATTTAATGGCAATAAGTCTTTGAAATTTAAGTACCAAAGTTGTTCTCCTCGGCATTTTAAATAGAATGCTAGATTACTGCTGATAGCACTCTTGATGATTCACTGACTTGTTTACCAGAAAGAGGAGTTGTTCAAAGCGGCTGACTTGAATGGAGATGGTGTTGTTACAATTGATGAGTTGGCTGCACTTCTTGCCCTCCAACAGGAACAGTAATAACACTCTATACATCGCCTATGTTGAGAACTTCTGTTTATACATATTGATTTGTACATCCTTGAATCCCAGCAATTTGCATGCATCAATTGCAGGGAGCCAATTATAAATAGCTGTCCTGTCTGCGGTGAGGCTCTTCAACTTTCTGACAAGCTCAACGCAGTGATCCATATGACTCTCTGTTTCGACGAAGGAACTGGTAATCAAACGATGACTGGAGGGTTCTTGACTGATAGGCAGGCCTCATATGGGTCAGAATTTTCATTTTCTAAAGTTTTTTATCAGACATTCTAAATCACTTATATATTGTCAGCTTGCTCAGCATTCAAGTTTTTAATATTTCGTCAGATGGATGTTCAAACTAAGTGAATGGACTCATCTATCAACTTATGATGTTGGTTTGAATACTGGTTCAAGTGCTTCACATATTGTGGTATATTTCCTTTCTATCACTTTTGTTTATGTCATGATAAACATCAAATTTGGAGGCCAATTATCAAGTTGTTTGTTTCTGTATACTTAAAATCCTTTTTGCTTCAAAAGATCCTGGCTTGGGTGAATTTTTTTGTGAATTCCTCCTACCAATTTCTGTGGTTTTCCTTTGAGTATCTCCTAATGGTGAACAAATGCAGGAAAAATATACTTACGTTTCACTTGATATTTGCTTTAGGTGATTGATCGGAAGACTAAGAGGCTTGTGGAAGAGTTGATTGATTCAAAGATTGTTATGTCGATGAGGGCTATTTACCAGTCAAAAATTGGACTCCGGCTTATGGACCAAGGTAATAAAGTGGGTCTTTCACCTCTAAAATGCACCTGGCAATAGTACCTTTGTGATAAATTATTCGACGCGTACTTTGTGCCCACAAGCTACACATTCTTGCCAATGTATCAAAGCAAACAATTCTTCATTCGGGATTGATCTCCTTGGTGCAGGAGCAAAAGAGATTTTGCAGAATCTTTCTGAGAAGCAGGGGAAGAAAATGAACACAGTTGAATCCGCCCAAAATATACCCAGCTTTCTCGAGTTTTTCAAGGTACGAAATCATCTTTTTATTAAGTTATTGTGTCAAATGGCTGTTGAGTTTAAGCCTGACACAATTTGGCTTGCTGGTTGGAGTTAACTAGCACCTGTTTGAAATGTGATATTGCTAATTATCTTAGAAAACCTTCCATGAATATTAACAAAAAAAACCGATTTACTATTTGGAATTGGAGACACCATATGAAATCCTCCGACCGGGATCAGTCAACGGTCCTCTCTTATGCTTTATATATAAAAATGATTAGGTTAGAATTACTTCGCTATATCTCCTAGATTTTAGACTGTATTGCCCTCCTTTTGTAAGTTTACATGACTGCCGAAAAATGAATAATGTGTTTGTTGCAGGATCAAATAAACATGGCCGAAGTAAAGTATCCTCTGGACCATTTTAAGGTATTCAAATGCAACTCATGGTATGAATATGATGCTAACCACGATATTAAAATAAAAAATGGTGCTAGTTCTTCAACTTGAGATCTAACCAAAGACAATTCACGGTATGACGTTCTATATAAGAACATATTAGTTTGTGGCTAGTTATAAAATAATATGTTAGTGATTGTGAGGTAAGTCAAGCTAATTTTTTTGCCGGATTTATCAAGGATGGGAAAAAACCCTTGCTAGTTTGGTTAACTGTAAGTCTGTAAGCTTGTGTACTTTTCATGCATTTGAAAGATCGTCATTTCACTTCAGACGTTCAATGAATTTTTCATACGGGAGTTAAAGCCTGGTGCAAGACCAGTTGCGTGCATGGATCGGGATGATGTTGCTGTATCTGGTGCTGATTCTCGATTAATGGCATTTCAGTCGATGGATGATAGCACACGGTTCTGGATCAAGGTAAACCAGCCTCTAGCAGCTAGAATATAATTCCGTATGCACAGCATCTGCAAAATTGAATATCCCTTAAGATACATGATGCAGCTGTTAGCTGGCAACATTGCCTAAATGTTACTCGCTATTCTAAATTTTTCAACCGTTTTCAATATTGGTAGGGCCGGAAGTTCTCTATTGCAGGCCTCCTTGGGAAGGATGTGAATTCGGGTGCTTTCCTTGATGGATCCTTGGTGATATTCCGATTGGCTCCACAGGTGCGACAAGACTGCATGCTTCATGTCTTTCGACCAAAAGCTAAAAAATCAGTCATTTTTGTTCACTTTCTTTATTCATGTATTGATCTTTTACAGGACTATCATCGTTTTCATTCTCCTGTCTCTGGCGTCATCGAAAAGTTTGTCAATGTTCCTGGAAGCTTGTATACAGTATGTGCTGATCCATCTCCCTTTCTATGTTGAAGAGTTTCATTCTTCTCCTGTATTTTCCTGTTGGTGTTACTTTTGTTTTCTTGTTAATCTACGTTGCTTCTCAGGTTAATCCGATTGCAGTCAATAGCAAGTACTGTAATGTGTTCACTGAGAACAAAAGGACAGTCGTAATTATATCAACAGCAGAGTTTGGAAAGGTTTGTCATCTCGTATAAGTCATACATTATCTTTTTTCACTGTTAGCTGGAGCAAATTGTCTCTGTGCCTACTGCTATGAATTCAATGATGCTCTAATTATAAACGAAGCTGCAAAATGAAATCTGATTGTATCACGGAACTTGACCTCAGTTTATTGCCTGTAACAGGTTGCATTTGTTGCGATTGGAGCAACAATGGTTGGTAGCATCACCTTTGTTAGACAAGAGGGAGACCATGTGAAGAAAGGAGACGAGGTAAGCAATTCTGAAACTTCTTTTTCTTAATTGAAAAATAGGTAATAGTTTCGTATGCAATCGATTACTAATTTGACATTCTCAATTTTCCAGCTTGGTTACTTTTCATTTGGTGGAAGCACAGTTATATGCGTCTTTGAAAAGGTTTGCTTCTAAAAAATTTCTTCTGTATAATAAATATTAAACATAAATATTACAACTCTAACCACTATAATAAACACTTTAGAATTAATCTCTTCGAAGCTATCAAAGCTGAGAAAATGAATCATATGCTTCCACTACCATAGAAATCGAGTTTCTTGATTTGAAAATCATGGGACAAATATCATACATTTTTTCGTAATACCGTCTCTGGATGAGTGCTTGCATCCGCATCAACCTTACCTTTTATGTGACACGTATTGCAGGACTCAATTAAGATTGATGAGGATCTCTTAGCCAACAGCGCTAGGTCTTTGGAGACGTTAGTTACTGTCGGAATGCAACTGGGCGTCTCCTTCCCAAAGCTGGAAAATTGTGTTCTTGAGCCCTGAACTGCTTCAAACTATGGGTACAAAACTATGGATA